TGCTCAGGCTGGTTTCGAACTCCTGAGCTCAAACAATCCGCCCGCCTCGGCCTCCCAGAGAGCTAGGATTACAGGCGTGAGCCACCGCGCCCGGCCTATTTTCCACTTTTTAAGTCCTATGTATAGAAACCTCTTTATCTTGCCAGAGGAGTATCTAAGAGCATTTCATTCTTGTCTAGATACCTTTCACATGGCTAGAGTAACAGTTAACAAGAAAAACTAGAAAACCAAAGTTTACTAACATATACGTAGGATGTCATATCATTGACGTTGCTTTCTTTGAAAAATTTTAAAAATTGTTATGATCTTGCGCATATTCATTGTAGGCTAAATTTAAGAGTTCACTATACAGTTGTTGGTAAATTAACATCTCAGTTCATCTTGGGATGTTTATTGTTACTTAAGTTGAAAGTAAATTACTTTAAAACTTAGTCCCTTTTACAGGATATGGTCTCTTTATGTCAGTAACAGCTTATTTTTAAATATTTTCAGGAAGATGCAGAGCATTAAGTAAAAAAAAACAACTGATTTGCAGATATGTGGAGTGGTCTACATGCTCCCACCCTAGTGCCTATGTGAGTCTGTAGTACCATAGTAAGTGTCCTTTTTTCTTGTAAACTGTATGATTTTAGAAATTCCTTTTTAAAATAGGGAAAAATTATATATAACATATATTTAAAGTCAGGATACTATAGCTTATGGTATTACACTGTGTAATAAAGAAATTGAGCTAAGTGACTTGAGAAGTTATAAAAGAATACACACAAAAAAGATTTCAATTATTCACTAAATTTCTGTATTTTTCTTTTAATTAGTTGGGTGATGAGATGTAGAATTCCTAGATCCTGTTAAGGACAGTAATCAGTCTTTTCAGGGAGTCAGAGAATAATCAATGAATAGATTTAAAAGTAACTTTGCTACTCATGTACCATGTGCACATTCAAATATGCCAGATTAATATATTTAATTTAATACTGTATTAGTTTCCTGTCGCTGCTGAAACAAACTTAGTGGCTTAAAACAACACAAATTTATTATCTTACAGTTCTATAGTTCAGAAATCCAAAATGGGTGTTGGCAGGGCTGGATTCCTTTCCAGAGGCTCTAAGGGAGAATCATTTTCCTTGCCTTTTTCAGCTTCAAGAAGCTTCTAGAAGCTTTCTACCTTCCTTGGCTAAAGGGCCCCTTTCCTCCAGATTCAAAACCAACACTCATCATTCTGATCTTGTTTTCATTGTCCTATTTCCTTCTCTGAGTCTCTTCTACTTCTCTCTTGCACTTTTAACGACCCTTGTAATTACATTGGGCCCACCTGGGTAAACTAAAATAGTTTCCTATTTTAAGATTAGCTGACTAACAACCTTAATTCCATCTACAATTCCCCATTGCCGTATAAACAACATATTCACAGATTCCAGGGATTAAGATGTGGACATCTTTGAGGGCCATTATTCTGCCTACCACAAATACCAACTAAGGAATAAGGACTAATACTTACTCTTTTAAACAATGTTTGGGTTGTTAAAACCCAAACTTTGAGAATTAGCCACTTATCAGATAAAAATATAAAAGAAAATAGAATGGAAATAAACTTTAGAAAAATTAACCAGCCCTGTGAATATTATTAAACTTCATAGCACTTAATCAGATTGAAGTAAGATTACTGAGAAAAGTCTTTATTTAATTTTAGGGTTTCTTTGTTATTTAATTTCTTAACTAGTATAATTACAATATGATGTTAACTTAAAAAATTCTTCACTTACATGCTGTGTCACAAATTTCATGGGTTTTTCTTTTTTTGCTGGTCTAATTTAATTTTTTAAAAACTTAAAAGCCCTTTTAACTTCAAGTGTATTATGATTAAAGTATACCAAGATAAATAATAAAGAAACTTAACACATTGGAATATTAGCTTATAAGTAGGACTAAGTAGTATAGCACCCTTACAGAAAACAAAATTAAGTGTACATGTTACTTACTAATAATTAGAATTTCCTGAAATTCAGACTTAATGTTTTTTCAGTGAGTAGACAATTTTTTTAGGGCATTACATTGTCAATAAGGTTCATGTATAGTGTAATCACGTATAAACTAGTTATAAGAATTGGTTGGAACATAGTGCCAATGAGGTAAGTTTTAGATTCTCTGTGTAGTTAACTTCATCTAAATGTCTGATTTCAGATTTGACTCCTTTTCCCTAACAGTGTCTGTATATGTAAGTTATGTCATAAAGAGGATTTAGTAAAACAGTGTGGTTCATTCCATGCAAATAAATAATATTCAGCACCGCAGGTAGATGAGTTCTATCATCATTTTCTGTAACAACAAAGACTTTATCTGTGTGAAAGGTATATCTGCTCATAAATTCCTCATAGGAAATTGTTTTTTTCATTTTTTAAAAAAATGTGTCATATTTAGTCAGTACCAGAATAAATTTTCTGATTTTTTTATTTTCCATGACTTCAATAAAATCTTTTATTGTGATAGCTTCATACTTATTTCTACTATACTTTCATCTAGGTTCTTCAGAATTTCTTACCTTTTTTATAGGTGATTTCTATATCTGATTTTATTTGTATATAAAAGTATTTGTTTCTTAGAATTATTGCAATCTGACTTTGGAAGACCTACTTTACGTGTCTTTTTTCTTTTATAATCTTTGAAGTTGAAGAAATTCTTGAACAAGCAGACTACCTATATGAAAGTGGAGAAACAGAAAAACTTTATCAGTTGCTAACCCAATACAAGGAAAGGTAGGCAATGTATAATCTGCCTAAGTTTGTGGTTTCCTAAAAATTTTTGTGTTATTTAACAATTATAGTGGTCCTTGGTGCTTGAAATTTTTTAATTGATTTTTGTAGTGTTTACTTCAAAATTATTTCTTAGAATTTAAAATATACTGTTTCTTTCTTACATTAAATGACTCAAAAGTGCTACATGTATCTCACTGATTTAGAAAAGGTGGTTCTACTTATTCTAGTGGAAAATTGAAACATTTTTGCCATATTGATTTGGATCATACAGGATAGTCATTGAACATATGTTTATCTCATCTATCCATATTGTGTATTTCTCATTCCTTTTTTAAAAAAGTAATTCCATATTGGTTTATATTTAAATGAATTCACTGGAATTGAGGATGATTCTATGCCACCATTGAATGGTAATTGTGTATCACTTCAGAAGCACAGTCTTTTTTTTTTTTGGAGGATGTAGAAGGAGAGTCAATCAATCCTAGAAAGTAAGTCAAATAAAGCTAAGTGATATTTCCAGATCACTAATCCACCTTATCTACTAAACTAAAAATATTGAGTCATTTTCAACTACTTTTCTTAGATCCCCAAAGCCAATTTTCTCCCCAAGACCCATCAATTTTACTTTCTGAATATCTGTAGGATCCATCTTTCCTTCTCCATACTCCTCTTGGTAACTTGAGGTGGCTGGTTTGGCATTTTATAGTCATTTCAGTGATAACTTGAAAAGTAAGCTGTAAGGTAGTTAGTTATTCTGCAGTCATTGAATAATAACTATACTAGCACTACCTGTAGTATATGAATACCTTTTTTTGTTAAAAAAAAA